CTTTCCTTTGTGCTTTACTATTTATTGGGAGACCCAATCAAATTGTGTGTCTTCTTCGACAACCAGCTTTTAGCAATATCTTCTCAGTGGCAGTTTCCTGTTTGTTGGCCAAAACCATTGTAGTTGTCCTAGCATTCATGGACACCAAGCCTGGGTCTAAAATGAGGAGATGGGTGGGGAAAAGAATGGTGAGCTCCATCGTTCTTTCCTGCTCTCTTGTTCAAGCCACCATTTGTGCCTCATGGCTGATGACGTTCCCACCATACCCAGACCTTGAAAAGTACTCAGTGTCTCAAGAAATTGTACTAGAATGCAATGAAGGATCGGTGACCATGTTTTACTGTGCCTTGGGCTCTATGGGCTTCTTGGCCATTGTCAGCTTCTCTGCTGCTTTTTTAGCTAGGAAACTCCCTGACAGTTTCAATGAAGCCAAATTCATCACCTTCAGCATGTTTGTCTTCTGCAGTGTTTGGTTGTCCTTTGTTCCCAGCTATTTGAGTACCAAAGGAAAATACATGGTGGCTGTGGAGATCTTCTCCATCTTATCCTCCAGTGCTGGCTTATTGGGTTGTATCTTTGCCCCCAAATGTTTTATCATCCTGTTCAGACCTGAACTTAACAGCAAACATTTGCTTATGAGGAAGTAATATTGAAACAGTTAATCGTTGCTACCAATAGCAAATGCAAATGCCAGTGGAAAAGGAAGTGGGCTGTGAGGAAATGAGATATCATGAAATACCTCCTCAAATTGATCACTCTGTCATCATGGCAGAGCTTTCACTACTGTTGCCCCCAACCTTTGGAATATTCTCCCCACAGAGGTGTGGTGGGCCCCTACCCTCCTGGCTTTCTGGAAAGGACTAAAGATTTGGCTCTGTCAGTTTGCATGGGGTAATAAGAACTCTAATCAATCAGTGCCCTGATGACACTGCCTGAGCTACTCATCAATTCCATCAATTCTTGGAATTTATTATCTATTTAACACTGCTAAAGTGTATTTTAATTGATTTTATCTTCTCTGTAAACTGCCTAGAGTCACTTTTTAATGAGATGGGTGGTGACAAATTTGATAGCTAAATAAATAAATGGCACAAAGTACCTCATCAAGGCAAATCAAAATGCTTGATGATTTTGATGAATTCTATTATATTTGTTATCTCTGCTGAATAATGTAATTTTTCTAATATATACTGCCCAGCATATTCAATTCCCCCCCCCAATATTTTAAGGAATTGAGCCTTTTAAGGCAGCTTGAAGATAGTACTATTGTAAC